TCAAATTACCAAATACATTACTTTACTTTATTTATAGTTTAATTTATATATTAAATTAATATTGTCCATGATCTCAATTATTAATTATTCATTATTAATATTGACATTATGTTGATTTTATATTTTATATTTGCTTTTTTAATTTTGTTAAAGAACTTAGTGCTCAAGTGACCTTCATGTTTCAATTTTTGTAATTTTCTTAAAATACATAATACCAAGTGAGTTTCATATTTTTTTAATTTCCTATACGAAATGAAAAAATAATTTTACCTGAGTTTAGAATGAAAAACTTTACTTTGAAAAACTATGTATTGTATATTATAATAATTATTCAAGTGGATTAGATGAAGTTCGGGTTGAGTCGGTCGGGTTACGGGTTAGTCGGGTTCGGGGCAATCGGGTTCGGGTTAATCGGGTTGCGGGTCAGTCGGGTTGCGGGTCAATCGGGTTCGGGTTAATCGGGTTGCGAGTCAGTCGGGTTGCGGGTTAGTTGGGTTGCGGGTCAATCGGGTTGCGGGTCGTGCGGGTTACAGGTTGTTGACTTTTAGTCAATTTGGGTTGTGGTCGGGTTGCAGGTCGGGTTGATCGGGCGGGTTAATCGGGTCGGACTATGTTTTGACACCTATAGTTCTAGCCTCTAGGTATCATAGTACTAGCCAGACTACTAGGGAACTTAGAAAAGCAAGCTCGATTAACAAAAATCCTATCAATCCTTGTCGCAATAGGATTACTAGCCTGCTTATTAACCCAAGTAAACTTCTCGCCCAAAGTTTTATGCTCTGTCAGTCTCATATCACCCAACCAATTTTGAAAATCCATACCACTAGACCCTGGGGGAGTTCTATTATATGCCTCCTCTGACTTCAAAATCGCATTAAAATTCACCTAATACTATCCATGGAAACCCAACTACTTGTAATGATCTCATACGACTGTAAGTATTCCTCTTTCAGCTTCCTCATTAGCCCCTTAAACTGATGTAACATAACACTACACACCTCCTTGAACTTATTAATGCAAAAAAATTCTTCATGATTTCACATATCTGACCACCGGGTTAGGCTTATGCAACATCCAAATACGACCCCTAGCTGAATCCTTATAATTGTCATTTAATTTCCAGCTTGCAAAGTGATCACTGGAAATATCAGCAACCTTACTCTGATCCACTCTAGTCTCCAATAAAGCTATCAATGTTCTTTGGCCTTAGAAACTTACTCACATAAACTTGCTTGGTGGTTTTATTGAACACCCCAATATTCCAAACTACAATAATCATTGATTTTTGACAGCCTTACTTACCCCCCTTACTGACCTTCTTACCACATCCCCCTTTGCCCATTTCCTTTATAGCTTTAACTAGGGAAGTCTCCTGACTATGTGAAGAAGATGATACCTTAACCTCAACTTCAGGATTCCCTTTCTCTACTTCCCTTACTTCATCAACTTGAACCATTGTATTTGTAACCTCAACTAGCGTCCTAATCCCCTTAGTCACTCATACTTACTTCACCTGTTGCTCCAGCTTACTACCATCATGGCCAAAGCATTGACAAGTTTTGCACACTGGGGTAAATTAAAGTATTCTAGCGTTGTTGAGAAATTTTGGTCTATCATTCTGGAACAAAGTTCAACACAGCATGGCACTAAGAATCCACTCCAATAGCCGATGGAAATTGGAATACCAGCAATTGTTCCCCAAACCAAGAAACTCGAATCTTGATACTATTTTTTAGTGGTCTGATTCAGGTCTTGCAAAATTCTTAGCTTGCTCTCATCTATCGCTTGGTAGATGATGGAGGTGATTTGGTTCGAGTAATTGCTACTCTAGGTTGTTGGGCAATGAAGATCCTATGGAAAGAAAGATGTATAATAGTTTGCGGGGCTTCAGGTAGAGATTGACAGGTCATTTTCTCACAATTGCAGGAGAAAGTGCATTTATATGCTTTAGACTAGGGGTGGAAGTTTGGGTTGCGAGTTGTGGATAACCCGCAAACTGCACCAACCCACACTCATTGTGGGCAACCATACCCACAAGTTGTGGGTAGTGGATCGAGTGTGGGTAGAAAAATAATGATTTTTACGGTTAGTGGTTACCCACTATCCACCGCGGTCAACCCAAACCCCATAATAACCACGTTAATTATATTTATTTACTAATAATACTTTATAATAGAATCGTATGTGAAATTGGGAGGCTAAAAATTAAAGTAGCCACCAAAATAAAAAACGCACCTAAGCAGTTTTATGTGAGAGTTTTTTACTTTATGAAACAATATAATCGAGAGAGTGAAGAATAGTCGATTCATTAAAAGTGGGCACCTTTAATAACTTTTATCTGTATTTTTTTTTCATTTGTGTGAAAGAAAATACAAGGTCATATTTAATTGTCATATTCCACCCCTAATCGGTGAAATCTGAAATCGCAACTCCCTGACACAAAAGTTGTATACAAAACTCGAAAAGAAAAAATTTCTACATTGAGTAAGATCGATATACAAAATTATATCTCGACAAACAACACAATGGTATAACCAGTGGCGGAGGAAGGGCTTGGGGACTGGTGTCCCAGGACCCCACTTGAACAATTGAAGGGCAAAATTTCCAATATATATATAGGGATTTCACGAGGGGCTTAAAATTCAGGACCCCATTACATTTCTATTTTTTTTTTTACCCTAAAATCCAGGACCCCATTGTGTTGTATGCAACTCCACCAAATGGACAAGAAGACTAATTCGAATAAATTATTTTTAAGCTATTTCTAAATATTAAAGATGAAATCACGATTATAATTATTGTTTTAAAATCCTAATCGAAAAGAGGTAATGCTATTCTTTTGTAACTCTCTCTCCATTTCAGAATCCTAATAGAAAGAGCTCCTGCAACGGGATGATAGTTTCAATTGTTTGAAGGGAGTATAGATGAGCTGAGTAGAAAGATGGTAGAAAGAGATAACCCATAATTACTATCTATTATTTTATTGGTTATAGGTATAATATGTCGTTCTATTATGTATTTTTATCATATATGTTGCTCTATTAATTTTTACATCAAATATGCTCATGTATTTTGAATTTTTTTTATAAAACATTATTTAAATTTGCATCCAAAAATTGTCCTAATCTCAACAAAATTATAGGAAAAATGTTAGTTTTGCCCCATCATTTATTTTTCCAAGTCTCATTAAAGTAAAATTACAAGGGGGAGTGGGCTATACAAAAGAAACAAAAAAAAAATGCTTAAGTGAAATTATTAGAGATATTTTAGATATTTTTTTCCTCACAAATTAAACCAAGATTCGGTCATGGTTGACAATCTTTGGATAAAATTTTAACATAAGAGCATGTTTCATAAGTTTTTCAAATTACATGAGCATGTTTGATGTAAGAAATAGTAGATGGATATGTTTTGTAAAGTTGTATAGTAGAAGGGCATATTGAGCCTATAACTCAAGCGTTGAAAGGTCATTTTCAGTTATGCATCACAAACAAGTTTTTAAATCGAATAAGTGATGAGTAGCTAAACAATTTTTTGGCAGGATAAAAGACCTGTTTAATATTGTAGATCATGAATGAGTTTACAATGTTTTCAAAATATAAAATCACGTTGTGACTCGTTGTAGAAACAAATAGATGTATTATATTAGTAAAACATCGAAATTAAGTATTAAATTTCATCAATGTATTTTTAAATTCTTTTATCTTTATATTATTAATTTGTTTTATAAGACCCAATCAACTCAAATTCTGGCTATGCCACTGTACAGTGGGATCAACACATTTTTCAATTAGATTAGATTATGTTTTTTTATGTATTCGTTGTTAGGGCATAACTTTTATTGTAATTTTTTCCTGATTTGGCTGTCAAAGGGGCTTAATAAGATCAATTAGTTAATAGAGAAATTTTTATAATAATTTTGCAATCTCGCATGATACTGCTGTCAAACCGGTTTATGCCAGTGTGTCGGTTTAGCAAGTGGAATGGTTCAACCGGTGGTGCATACCGGTTGTGCCGGTTAATATTATAAATAATTTACAAATACTCATATTTAAGCACGACATTTAAAGTCAATACCTAAATATTTGTACTTGAATCCAACAAAAAACATCAACATTTAACTTTTTAACACATAAAATAAATAATAAATTAATTTTTATCAATTAAATTCACTAAGATAAGATCATTTTATTTGGAGATTCGTATATCGATCATGCCGGTCATACCGATGGTGTCATGTCTGTTTTACGACCGGTACAAGTTCAACCATTGGCACGCCGGCCGACGTGACAACCATGATGATAGTCATTTGAAATGTGAGGAGTTTATCATCTGTTATCAGATTGACCAATTTTGTTGATAGCGCATATCCCGCCCACCAATGAATTTCGGCAATTGCATGCTTGACTGCAGACCACTTGACCTAACGACTCTGAAACTTACATCGCAACCATGTTGCGCTAAAGTGGAGGTCAGCACGCAATTTCTCCATATGATTGCACGCCATTATATTTCCTTTTTCACAAGTGAAACAAACAAACACATGAATATAGGCTTATCTTGTTATAATTAATCTGTCCTCCTGATATGGAGATGGACACAAAATATGCAAGCAACAACAGAAAGAACCAAAACCCTCTCTTATTCGCTACTCCACCAGTCACCAGCACTGGCTAAACACATGCTGCTTTCTTTTGTTTAACTTTACTAGTATATTAACTCAACTAGATGAACACTTTTGGGAAACGAACAAACAAATTTACCACCACAGAACATAATATTGTTTTGTAATCATATAAATAATAATAAACCTGCAACAAGGCATGGAGCTCCATCCCCTCTCTCTACCAAAACCCTAGCAACAAACTTGCCACCTTATCTCAAAGGTACACCAAAAGCAATCTGTTACCAACTTTATCATCATCCCTCACTCTGAAACCTCTTCCCTAACTTGGCTAGACAAAATCTGCATCCGCTTTCTGCAAGTAAAATAGAATTACTCACAACAAATGCATCCGCTCTACATAAGATTGCAGCAGCCACTTATTAAGCGGCTCACCACACCCAACAAAACACCCTGTGTTGCCATTCACCGTGAAGAATGGGAAACTGAACATGTGCAGCAACTCCTGCACTGCCTGCCTCACCATCGAAGCACCTGTCACCCTGCTCCTCCGTCCCCACCCGGTCACTATATCGATCCGACTCGGTCCAACCCCGGACATCATCATTTCGCGGCGGAACCATGCAAGCGTCCTGGACAAGGCCGTGACAGCAGTCCCATCAGACATCACGTGCAGGTTGATGAGCCAATAACAAGAGCTCTTCTCTCTAACGGCATCTGGGTACACGTTCTTCTGAGCAGCAACCTCCCACACTAACCCAGCTTCCTCCTTCAAACCGGACTTGTGAAGGAAATCTACAACAGCATCAACTAGCCCCCTCTTGCTCTCTCTGTCTTCACTCCGCATCATATCCAAGAACTTCCCAACATGATCTCTCACGTTCTGACCATCAGCTCCAGCAGAAGGCATGGACAGCAGAAACAGATGTGCAGGATGGCCTGTGGTTGCCATGAGGTCACAACAGAACCCCATGTCATATGGGGAACGTGCCTCTGTACAGCAGCTGAGGAGTAAGGTGTAAGTCTGTGAAGATGGGATTAATCCCAAACCGAGCATACTCTCAAGTAAGCTATAAGCATCACCAAGTCTATGCACTCTAAGGAATGCACTGAGGAGGGAGTTACAAGTGGGGACGTTCGGGCGGAGTCCAGTTTGAAGCATGGCTTGATACCAACCCCATGCCTTCTCCACATTCCCAGATTTTCCCCATAAGTCCACTAGGAGACCATACACAGGCTCATCCGGGACCCAGTTTCTCTGTTTCATTTCGGAGAAAACTGCTTCAGCTTCATCAAGATACCCCAGGTGTCCAAGTGCTTCCATTACTATGCTGTAGGTCACTTTGTCGGGTTCGAACCCTGCACTCTGCAAGTCTCGGTACAGCTTGAGGGCGCTTTCATAATTCCTCGCCTTTGCCTGCAATGCAATCATGATATTGTAGGTAACTAAATTGGGAGTGCATCCATGTTCCACCATTTCATAAAACAGCTTGTCGGCGGAAGCTAAATGACCAGCTTTTCCAAGGCAATTTATCATCACACTATAAGTAAATGTGTCGGGGGCTAGTCCGGCTCCCTGCATCCTTTCATACATATCCATGGCAAAATCGAGATACCCAGCTTTCGCATGTATATCTATGAGGGTGCAGTATGTTACACGATCGGGTTCGCATCCATCCTTCTGCATTTGATCGAACACATCAACTGCTTCATTCAGATAATTTGCTCGCCCATAGCTGTGAATAAGGCGGTTATATGTCACAACATTTGGCTGACATCCATCCCTCACCATCTGATCAAGCAATTTGTTGATTGCAGTGAATTGCTTTGCCTGGCCGAGGATACCAACCATGGTTGTGTAAGTATGACCATCATGCTTGAACCCCGGTTTCCTTTTCAACCAATAAAAGAAGCCATGTGCAACAGTGTGATCCTGTAGTTGCTTCAGAACTTGGTTTGCTTGATAAGCATCCATCGAACAATCAAGATTTCCGAGAGCAGCCTCTGCTGCAGGACTCCATCCCAGTTGTCTCAGTATGCTGCAAATATTTTCCACAATACGACCATTGCCTGAGGAATGACGGGCAATAGAAGGCATTGATGCAGGCACCCTAGCATCTTTAAATGACTTTCTGTACCCTGAAGAGACAGGCTGCCCCACTTTTGCATCAGGATTATGTACATTGGCATTGAAATTTGGTATGCTCTTATTTGGTTGAGTCCTCGGCCTCTGATTTACAGTCTTCTTCTTGTCATAAGTTTCAGAAGGGGTGTACTTTGTTTCCAATGAACTGACGGAAGCAGGCTCACCTGCAGAACCTCGTTTGGAGCTTCTAACAGAAGTTGCTCTGTCACCACCTTTACACTTTGCACGGGCAGAGCTGTCACAGGTGCTTGACCCCACCGCTACCTCTGAAGATTTTGCATAAACTTTTGAAAACTGCTCAGCCTTAACAGTTTTCACAGGAACTGACTTTACATTGGAACATGGCCTGGTGGAATCAATCACAGAATTTTGAGGCAAATTTATTCCACTTCCATCTGACATAGGGATCTTGTAATTAACCATATCAGACAGAAAACTAACCGCAGCAATACCAACTTTGACAAATTGGTCGGACATAGGCGGTGAAGAATGTGAAACTCCATTTTCTACGTAAGTTGCACCGTCTGACTTTACAAAGGAACCAGGAGATGAGACAACCTGTGGGAGAGGATTTCTGCCCTTAACATTGTCACCTTTCTTGGAACCCAATAATTTAACTGCGTCTCTTGAGGCTGAAGCTTCTAGCCCTGCTAGGGTTTTGGATGCTAAGGTGGATGCCTTATGGGCAAGTAACCCATTACTCCTTGTGTGCAACCCCTTTGAGTTACAAGTTTCATCTTCAGAACAAGTACATGAACTACCATCTACTGCTCCACAACGTGATCCACTGACAAAGAAGGACCTTGCAGTACTGGAAAGATTACTTAACTGCTTTGCACGGATCATGACTTTAAATTAGAGGACCACCTGCACAAGGAGGAACGACGGTGAGGTCATTATCATAGGTGTTGTGACAAAGCTGGACAGGAAGATTTGATGTAGGCAAGGATTTCAAAATCAGCATTTCACATCCCTGTTGACAACAATCCTTTACTTATGGCATTCATGGAAACAGTTCCACGGCATGAAATCAGTACAAACAAGTATAGCGAGAAGAAAGAAAAAAGCTACCATCCTGGAAGCTTTGCGCAGATGAATACCCATTAAAACAATTACCACTTGATAGAAGAACAAACTTACCGCTTCAAAGGCACTGTTTATACCACACCCGAAAAGGCTTTTACTCGCAGGTCACCACCAAGGACTCCTTGAAACAGTCCTCTCAAATACATTTAAGACTGTCTATAAAAATACCCCAAACTCTCCAGAACAGCACTAAAAACGCCAAATTTTCCAGCTCCAAACAGCAACCGAAGCTGCTGCAGGAGCAAACATGCATATATATATGATCTGCTACTCCAAATCGCGAGCTTTGATTAACTTCCCGCTCGCTGCTGCCATGACTGTGTATCATATAAATTCTATTCGAACACACCCAGAAAAAGGGAAAAAGACACAAAATCAATTGTCAAACAGACCATATACTAAACCATATACCAAACGGAAAAGGGAAAAACCTACACATCTCAGGAATGAACAAATGGAGAAGCACTTCCCGTCCTTGGCCAACATCAACCATGAACCAAAACACCACAATGCAGTCCAATAGGCAATAGACACGCCCCCCAAATCGACAGTGGGCACACGACTTTAAAGGTACAATCTTTTTTCAAATCAATAGACTAAATCAACGCCAAAGACAGGAAATTTCGCCGGGTATGAACAGAAACTAAGAAGATCACAGCAGAACCCAAGTCGGGGATCAGACGTACGAATAAGCATAACAATGACGAAACAGGGGTGAGGAAAGAGAAAACAGCTGGAACCCCAATGAAGAAGAGAGCTGAGAGTCGAAGCGCGAGAGAATACCTGAAACTGAAATGGGGCCTGAAGTAGCTTCGCGGAGATTAAAGAGGAACCCAAAGAGGGAAGCGAGAAAAGTAGGAAGGAAGAAGGGGCTGGCGGCTGCTAGGCCGTCAGCAGAGGGAGAAGAAGAAGGTGTATTTTTCTTTTCCAGCGGAGTTGGGGGAAGAAGAAGGAAGAAGGGAGGCAACTCCACATAATACTTTTTGTTGGGTTCACGGCTTCACGCTCTGTTTCTTTTCTTATTTGCCCTACTTTCCTTTCCGACTCGTGTGTGGCTATACGCTGGTGGACCGACGTGGCATTGTTTGAGTTTCAGACTTGTGAATTACGATATTTTCATTTATTTAATTGCCCCGAAATTTCCCGTCTTTTGACACCCTCTTTTCCTTATATCAGGGAGGATCATTTTGTTTATTGATCTGCGACTGTCTTGGCGAACAATCCAGCTGATTAATTACAGGAATGATCACCCATTTTCGCAATTATTACTACTGTGATCGCTGAATTCAATTTTTAACCCACATCAATTTGTTTACATTCTAAACCCCTTAAACAAACTTGCTCTTTTATATACTAACTAATAATCCAATTGCCAAGTAAATCATCAGAGGGGAATAAATGTGTGTCAAAAAGACGGAACTATGAAAAAAGAAATGTGAAAAAAGTTAAGAGGAAAAGAAAAGAATGTAAAAACTTTTCTGGCACGGTACAAGGGATGGGGTCTTCACGGTAAAATCGGCTTATCATTTAGCTGTGGATATGGATAGAAGAAGAGGGGGGTGGAGAGCTTCAGTGGGTTGGATGGATAAGGAGTCTTGGATTCGTTTGTGGGATGCGGATATTCCGCCTAAGCTGAAAGTTTTTCTTTGGCAGATCCTTAATCGAATTTTGCCTACTACGGAGGCCCTTATTGAGAAACGGGTCCAGGTGCATCCCAGGTGTCCGGTGTGCTGGGATGCTGCGGAATCGATGGAGCACTTGTTCCTGGATTGTTCTGTGGCTCGTACCCTTTGGGTGCATTCTGGCCTGGATTATCTAGGGGAGGGACTTCCTAGACATACCTTCCCCATGTTCCTGAAGCAACTTTTGGGTCGGATTCACCAACCTGCCTTATTAATGGCCGTGGTGGCTGTCCTGTGGAGGATTTGGCGGTCGCGAAACTGGGTTGTTTTTGAAGGCAAACAGTATGGTTTTCCAGCTTTGATGCGGCAATTCCATCAGCAGTATGAGGAGTGGGTGCAATTGCCTGAGGACAGGCCCCCCCGGACGGGTTCCCCTGTGGTGGTGCCTCCTGGGACCCTCCCTGTTGGCAGTGCTGCGGATGATTGTGCGGTCTGTTTATGGGATGGGGCAGTGAGAAGGGGGTCGCATGGTGCGGGTGGGATTGTTCTGCTAACTCCGTCAAGGCAAGTTTGGCTCGTGAAAGGAATTCTTTTTCCAGAGGTGGATGATCCGATGGTGCTGGAGTTGCTTGCCCTCAGGGAGGCTGTTAGGTGGTGCCTTTCGATTGGCCTTTCGGTAGTCAAGTTTGAAGGGGATGCGAAGGTGCTCATTGATAAGATCAATCATGCGGATGCTAGGGACAGCCAAGTAGGAGCTATTCTGGAGGAGGTTTTGCATTGTTTTAACAACTATCCTGGTTTTAGTGTCCAGTTTATAGGTCGGCGTAGTAATAGGGTAGCCCATTTGGTGGCTAGGAAGGCCCTTTCTTTGTACCCGGCTATGGATGGTTTCTTTGATTTCCAGGCCTGGCTGTCATCCAGGATGTAACTATCACTTTTGATCTTTATAAGATTATCTTTTGTCCAAAAAAAAAAGAATGTAAAAACTTTATGATGCACTCTTATGTAGCATACTATAACCGTTAAACCAAGTTATCCTTATGCACAAACTTACGGCTTTATAATACTAACTAGGGTAGTTAGCCGCGCTACGCAGCAGGATTTGTATGGGCTTTTGGGCTTGGCTTTTGCAAGCCCATCTATTTGATCCCTTATGCACCCATCGAGTTAAGCAAGCTTCATAGCTAGGTCTTCTTTTACCACCGCAACCTCTTTGGGGTCGTTTGGATGGAGCAATTGGTGAATGAGTCAATTTGACTTAATTGACTCATTTTTAAAAATGAGTCATTTGTATGAGGAATTTGGCTCAAATTGTCTTGTTTCGTTAGGATTTGTGATGAAACAATTGAAATGAGACATTTTGTCCAAATTACATTTTTACCCTCCTTTTCACTCTTTTTCTTTTCTATCTCTTTGAGAACCACCAGCACAAAATTCCCAGATTCAATTACAGTGGCAGTGGAGTGAAATAATGCGTCCAATTGTGAAGCAATTACAGGGGTAATTACAAGGCCACACCGGGTACATAAAACCAAAACTCGCCAATCTTTGGCTAACAAAGTCTACCAAAAATTGCCCAGGATGCCCATAAAAAAAGTTTCCCAGAATTTCTCTCTACTAATCCAGATTTGACGGTTGTGTCGAGCGGCTACCGGGAACCGCCACCCTCCCCGCCTGCCACGATACCACTTCATATGTCACTTGCAAGGACTTCGTATACTCAACCCAGGTATCCCTTTCCGTTCCCATCTATGCCCCATCGTCCGCGATCTTTGTCGGGAAAAAGCTCCCCCTCCTAATCTACATCCACGGTGGCGGGTTCTACTTCGAGTGCCCTTTCTCCCCGCTCTATCACCGACTACCTCAACGCTTCAGTCGCCGAGAAAGAAATTCATTTTCTTGGTTCGTCAAAGAGAAACATGAAATAAAAGAAGAGAAAAGGAATGGGTTGTCTCTGCACTATGCAGAGAGAGGAAAGAAAGAACAGAGCAAGCTTTGTCTCTTGCAAGAGAGAAGAAGAGAAGAGGAAGGAAGAGAAAGGGTTGCCATTTTTTGTGCCTGCACTCTGAGAGAGAAAGAGAAATGAATAAGAAAAAGAAAAGGACACAATTGGGAAAGTGGGGAGAAAAAGGAATCAATTCTCAATACCTCCCCCTACCCCAGGTATTTAGAATTGGTCCATAATGGAACAATTCTCATTTCCCCACTTTGAAATGTTCCGTTTTCATTTTTTGTTGCCAAATGAACCAATTTGTCTCAATTGTCTCATTTTGAGTCAATTGAACCAAATTGTCTCATCAAAAAGACTCATCCAAACGACCCCTTTGTCTCCCTCTCCATCTCTCAATCTCTTTCCAACAAACTCAACACATGGATTCTGCATCTCTATCAAACCATCCATACATCTCCATTCCATCATCAAACTGAAAACCGCCTCAGAAAACAAAAGAAGAAACTGAAGGGGGAGCTTTCGTACGATCTTCATGGTCCAATCCAATTCCACATGCATATTTTCCGCTATTTCAGTTCAGTTCTGCTCACTGAGCGGACAATAAATATGAAATTGGAGGTATGTCCCATACGTTCATCTCCTTCCATCCCCATCTGTTCGTCGAAATTGAAGGAACCGGTATGAATCCTATCCCTTTTTGCTGGTTTCTAATCAGATTGAAGAAGAAAGCGGAAAACAAATTCCTCGAGTGGGGGCTGCCATGCTATGCATGTCATCGTTTCAGTTAGATCGGAACGGATCTGGTGGCATGCAAGCTCTCAGAAGGAGTCTTCTCCCCGTTGTGGTTTCGTTCTTCTTTCCAGGTATGACTCATCTGGATTTCAACCTTACTTACTGCATTTCAATTTGGTGTTTCCATGGGGATGATGGGAGTTGTACATCAATCAAGTTTGTAATACTAGATAGAAATAGTTTTTACCGTTTTCTTTTTTTTTCATTTGGGATCCAGATCCAGAATCATGAAAGTGGCGGTTGTGCTTCAGGGATGATGTGGGCAATTATTTTCCTTTTGTCAAAGTATAGATTATGTATAGATTAGGAAAGCAAAACATATTTGAAGCGGTGTGAAATTTTTCTTTATCCAATTTTCCAACCACTGGATCTGGAAAGGTTTGTGTTTTTAGCTTGGATTTTAGAGGCTCACTGTTATATGATAGTTTGTTTTGGTTGTTTCATGCGGGTTCTAGATTTCTTCTTCATGGTAGCGTTCAGGATTTGAATCGGGTTTGACACGTTTGGTCACTCAAATTATACAAATCTTTCATGTTTGCCACCCGAATTACTTTTCTTTCTTATTTTCCACTAACTTTACGAATCGTTTCATCGTTAATCACCAGCCATTACACTCTGTTAATTTTGTCCTATGTAGCAGTCAACCCTAAAGTTTGAATGTTAACTAGATGATGTGGAAATTAAAAAAATTAAAAAATATATTTATTTTTCCACCTCATCGTACCACTTACTTTGTCTTTATCATATCAATTATTTAATGAAAATTAATACATAACAAAAGGTTTGGATGGAAAACGCTAAAGACGTCAAAGATTTCATCTGTCGGATGAGTGCTTGTCCGTCGTTTTCCAATCGTTGAGCTCCGCTGACAGGAAGAGGTGCTCCCTAGTCTGTCGTCGATGGCTCATGATTGAAGGTTAGAGCCGCCACCGCCTCTCACTCAACGCGTAGACCGATTCCTCCCGCTAGTGGCGAGGCTGTTCACTCGCTTCGATTTCGCCTGGCCTTTCCCCTCCCCCTCTTTCTCCCCTGGCCAGAATGTGTCGCCGTCTTGCTCTTCCCAAAATCTCCCAAATCCATTTCTTTTCCCATTTGTTTGTCTCTCTGCCAAATCACTTTCATAAATTTAAATTAAAAACTAAAAAAAAGTGCAAATAAGGGGAAGAAGATGCTCACTGTTAGAGAGTGGTATAAGATCCAACATAACCCTCTCCCAACAACTCGAGTTATTGGAACCAATTGGTTTACGACATGGTATCAGAGCCTAGAACCGAAAGGTCACATTTTCGAATCTCCACTACCCCAATATTAACCGTTGTCTTTCAAGCATATGGTATGGTGGGCCTATGCAAACTTCAAGCACATGGGTTGGCTTTCGTTTGAGGGGGCGTGTTAGAGAGTGGTATAAGATCCAGCATAACCCTCTTCCAACAACTCGAGTTATTGGGACCAATTGGTTTATGACACTCACGACAGGCGGATTGAGGTGGTACGTCGAGGAGAGAGTTCATCCTTGACACACTATTGTGCGTCCATCAAGGGGTCATCTTAAAGACCTCATGCTTGATACTTTCCTCGATTTATAGGATATCAAGGTAGTACGTCGAGGAGAGAGTTCTTCAGGCAAAGGGTCGAAGAATCGTCTTTTCGAGGTGAGTGTAAAGGGGGGTAAAATCTCCGTCGAGGTCCTTTAATTATGAATTTTATTTCAAGTTATGTTCGTTAATTTACGAGTTATGTGCGTTTACTTATTTGAGGTAACCCACCGCCTACTGAAGGTGGAGGCATGCGTTGTGCTTATGTGTATGAATGAATGTGTGTGTTGATATATGGATGTTGGTATTAAAGTAAGGGAACCTCCGGGTGGTTGGATCCCTACTCGACGTGATAGCTTATCTAATCACTGTTAGACGATGATACATAACGCAACAGTTGATCGTGTGTTTTGGGTCACTCTTGGACGATAATACGTAACGTAGTAGTAGATCGGCCATGGTACTAGACGGCGATACGTAACGCAGACTATTGCCTTAAAGGTAGAGACACCAGACGACGATAAGTAACCCGGTGATTCCCTAGTAATTATGTGTAAGAGTTAAGGATAGTCATAGGAGTAGAGAACTCCTATAAGTTAATTAGAGAATGAATTATAAAGGGCGAAAGCGAGAATGGCTTTAATTTCATGTAAGAGGGGAAATTCTAATAACGCTAAATGTTAAGTAAATGCTTAAGGCAAGGACCTTAGGTTATAGTAACGACGAGATTGACCCCTTCTCACTCACCAGGTGTAGAGAGGGGAAGAGGACGTGTTCGTCAAGAGGAGTCTACTCGAGGAGAGCAGCCACAACAACGTCGAGGATGTCGACAGGATCGGGGTAACGAGATGGGACCCCTTTGTTATATATGTTTTTATTTTATGTCTTTCTAAGTATACTAGAAACTCAAGGATTATGTTTTAAGTGTTTTGGATTGAGGTTGCCCGAGTGTTTAGGGCCTTTCGTATGAGATTCTTAAAGTATTTTCTTTTGTTTGACTTTTGCTTTGATTGTTCAGTGTGGGTTGGTTGCTCCGAAGTAACCGGTTTTGGTTCTTGAGTTATGGTTTTTGGTTTCAGAGGATCGGGTTGTTTCACCTCCTCTTGATCAAGCCATTCAAACCCAACAAGCTTGGTATGTGTTGAGGTCATCCAACGAGTCGTAGATTGTTTCAGAAATGAGATTTCTCCCAAATTTCTTTTAAGTATAGTATAATGAAAATGATCGTAGCATGTACAAGAATCAACCTGTATATACATGATCGAGAGAAAAACCAAAAGCTAGAAGGAGAAGTTGCACTCTCCTTTCTCTCTCATGTTTGCGAGGAAAACCCTAATTTTGATCGGCGGGGATGGCCGCTCCGACCATTCCTCTGTAGGCGAATTGGGCGCAACTTTTTGGTGTTGGGGAGGGTAATGACTGCAACATGTTCCTCCGTTTCTAGTCGATAAAGAGCTTGTTATTCCTCAATCATTTTGCGAAAAGGGTGTTGGTATATGGAGAAATTCATTGGTGGGTTAGTTCTTCTCTAAGCCTCGAAGTTTGTTCAAGATCTGGATATGGGCCGTGGCACTGTGAGAACAATCCGCTATTTGTGAGAAAATGGACTTCTGGGATTGAGTCGTTAGCTCTCAATTTGGGGGTTCTCCTTATCTGGGTTCATCTTAGGAGGTTGCCATTAGAATATTTCACTGCATATGGTTTGATCAGGGTTGTGAGTGTGCTGGGTACGCCTCTTTGGATGGATCAAGCTACTCGGGTGGTTCTCATATTAGGATGTCGAGGCTATGTATTAAAATGACTGCCACTTCCTCATTACTCTCATAATTTCTCATTTGGCCGGCAGGTGATGAAGCCATGACGCTATCTGTGGATTATCTTAATGTTCCCCATTATTGTGCTCAATGTGGTGTATTTGGTCATAAGATTGGTGAAGGGTCTTAATGCAAAATGGTTGAGGTTCTGAATGATTGTGATCTTGTTGTTGCGAGAACTATTGCTACTAAAGCTCTCTAGGCTACTTGGAAACCAAATGAGGTGGGGGAGACTAGTACTCAGGCTAAAGCTGAAGCTGAGGCTGCTAGCTTTATGGTTGCTATTCAGTCACAAACTGCTCCTCATGGTGTGACACAGCAGCATGATCATACTTCATGGTGAGAGGTAAAGTGATAATTGATAAAGATGTGTTTCATTTAGTAGCTCAAATGGGGAGGCATCCAGGGGTTGGAAGTGAAAGTAAGTTGTGGGTTCCTCAATTAGCAGTGACAGCAAGGAGTCCCTCTTAATGCTAAATGTCAAGTGATGGTTGCTCCCTCTTCTCCTCCAAGGAAAGGGATGGGCGAAACGAGGTAAATAAAGTTGAAGGGTTGAAATCTCATGGGGGGTTTAATGGCCTAAGAAACATAGATATATAAGTAGGAAATTAAAAAACCTTAAATTGATATGGTCACTATTTTGGAGACTCGAGTTTTAGCTAGTAATGCTACAGGTATAGTTAGTAAACACTTTAGTAGTTGGAACTATTTAAATAATTACTCTCACTCGCCCTATGATATAGTTTGGTTGTTATGGAAGTCTGGTCTGCAAATTGCGAAAGTGGTTGTTGGAGAATAATTCATCCAAGTGCAGGTTTCTGGTGAAGAAGGTTGTGTGGTTACGGCAGTGTATAGCCCTAACAAAATAAAAGACCACCAAGGCATCTTGAAAGTGAATTGTATTTCATGAATATGATACTAGTGTGATGTATAGAATATATGATAAAGGTGGAGTGTTCGGAGTATTTCTATTGATTAGACATAAAAACTATACACTGAGCTATTACCCTTGTTATTTTCTTGTGAGCTTGCACTTTTTATGGGCGGTTTTAATGAAACTGTGGAATCTTCTGAAGTTTTAAAACATATATTATCAATCAAAGTTCACTAGATATTAGAGGATGGATCAACTCTGTGGGACTATTTAATCACAAGGTAAATGGTTTACATGGCGGAAAAATCAAGATGGAAACCCTATTGGTAGAAGGTTGGACAGGTTTTTTGTTTACTAGAAATGGCTCGATGTGATTTCTCATAGTGTGGCTCAGACCCTATCCTTAGGAGTATCTAATCATTGTGGACTGATGATGGATTTTTCCCTTGAGTAACTTCATTAACAAATCCATTCAAATATTTTAATTTTTAACACACTCATCCTCCATACAATGAGACATTAAATGAAGTGTGGAAGAATGAGGTCACAAGTCATCATGGTCAATTTTTTTATGGGAGGTTAAGAGAATTGAAGTCTAAGCTAAAAATGAATAATAGAACCAGTTATGCAGATATATTCTAGAGAGCTAGGGCTGCTGAATTCCAGCTTGAAGAGACTCGAAAAATGTTACTGTCTTGTCATGATGAAGAGTTGATAAAGAAGGAGCTTGAATTAGCTCGCATTTATAAACAATTACAAGCTGATGAGGAAAGTTATTGAAGACAGAAATCCAGGGTGAAGTGGGTAGCAGAAGGAGACTCATAAGCAACGTATAAGTAAGATGGTTGCAAATAATGTGGTCCAGCTAATAGATGTGAAGTAGATGAGTGACCTAATAGTCTCTTTTTCTACCGAATTGTTAGGGAAATCATATCAGGCAGTTCATGACTTCACCAATCTTATGACCAAATACACCACATTGAGATTGGTCTTCTTAGCATCCGACCAAGCTTTAGTGGTACCTATATTGTAAAATAGATGGTGTCGCTTAAGTGAATGTGTTTTTGGCTTATCTATTGCTTGATTCCCTTAGGTTCTCTGCTTAATTGTTATAATCTGAGATATATTAGTTTCGT